GCCGTCATGAGGGTTCGAACCTACGCGGGGGACGGAGGGTGTTCCCACTCACACGCCCTAGACGACTAGACAACGAATGGTATACATGGAGCACCCCCGCATAGATTCGAACCCTCATCACGGCACCTACGGGTTTTCTCCTATTGGCAACATACACACATTACCACCATAAGATATATAGACCTAAGACTCTTAAATGGCAGTGTCATGCTTTTTAATACTAAATGTCTAGCACAGTGGTTCTTAACCTCTTTTACCTCATGCACCTTTTCACCTGAATATCATCGACCCTTTCCAAAACTGTCTGGCTCAAAACCTGCATTCCAATATTTCCACAGATACAACAAAAAATAGATTTATTTTGAATTTAATCTGTGAAATTCAATAAAGTGTGATGTCGTCAGATTCTGTACAATCTGTACAAGTGTAGTTTGTAGAAAGATCAATATTGCAACAGTCTCAATCCCCCCCCTAACCAGGTTGTGAACCTGTGGACCTGTATAAGCATCAGTAAGACACCGCCATCTCGGGTGAGCCGTGGGTATGCAAGCACGAGTTTGTTCAGCACAAGAGTAATCATCTGGAATAAGCATGAATGGAAGGTAGTGGAAGTTAACTCCACTTACAATGTTAACAGCAGCAGGAAGGACGGGAGTCAGCCATTGCAATGGGTTACTGACGTCTGAAATAACAGGCCCAGGAGCTGGAGTTTACCCTACAAGCACGGTCGGTACAGAGATGGCCTCGCTTCCTGCGGGTCGATGTTCGATCCCCGATGGTTCAAGTGGATGAGCATCGTTCCTTCGATCCATCCCATTCGAGATCTTTGTGATCAACGCGCTAGTCGTACTGGCTTAGCACTTCCCCCCGATAATTACCTTACCTGCAAGTACATGTGGGTTACTACCCTCAGTAACACCCATAACCAACACTGCCCCAGCTCTACTCCTCTACTCCTCTAACTACCCTCAGTAACACCCATAACCAACACTGCCCCAGCTCTACTCCTCTAACTACCCTCAGTAACACCCATAACTAACACTGCCCCAGCTCTACTCCTCTAACTACCCTCAGTAACACCCATAACCAACACTGCCCCAGCTCTACTCCTCTAACTACCCTCAGTAACACCCATAACCAACACTGCCCCAGCTCTACTCCTCTAACTACCCTCATTAACACCCATAACCAACACTGCCCCAGCTCTACTCCTCTAACTACCCTCAGTAACACCCATAACCAACACTGCCCCAGCTCTACTCCTCTAACTACCCTCATTAACACCCATAACCAACACTGCCCCAGCTCTACTCCTCTAACTACCCTCAGTAACACCCATAACCAACACTGCCCCAGCTCTACTCCTCTAACTACCCTCAGTAACTCCCATAACCAACACTGCCCCAGCTCTACTCCTCTAACTACCCTCAGTAACACCCATAACCAACACTGCCCCAGCTCTACTCCTCTAACTACCCTCATTAACACCCATAACCAACACTGCCCCAGCTCTACTCCTCTAACTACCCTCAGTAACACCCATAACCAACACTGCCCCAGCTCTACTCCTCTAACTACCCTCATTAACACCCATAACCAACACTGCCCCAGCTCTACTCCTCTAACTACCCTCAGTAACACCCATAACCAACACTGCCCCAGCTCTACTCCTCTAACTACCCTCAGTAACACCCATAACCAACACTGCCCCAGCTCTACTCCTCTAACTACCCTCAGTAACACCCATAACCAACACTGCCCCAGCTCTACTCCTCTAACTACCCTCAGTAACACCCATAACCAACACTGCCCCAGCTCTACTCCTCTAACTACCCTCAGTAACACCCATAACCAACACTGCCCCAGCTCTACTCCTCTAACTACCCTCATTAACACCCATAACCAACACTGCCCCAGCTCTACTCCTCTAACTACCCTCAGTAACACCCATAACCAACACTGCCCCAGCTCTACTCCTCTAACTACCCTCATTAACACCCATAACCAACACTGCCCCAGCTCTACTCCTCTAACTACCCTCAGTAACACCCATAACCAACACTGCCCCAGCTCTACTCCTCTAACTACCCTCAGTAACACCATAACCAACACTGCCCCAGCTCTACTCCTCTAACTACCCTCAGTAACTCCCATAACCAACACTGCCCCAGCTCTACTCCTCTAACTACCCTCAGTAACTCCCATAACCAACACTGCCCCAGCTCTACTCCTCTAACTACCCTCAGTAACACCCATAACCAACACTGCCCCAGCTCTACTCCTCTAACTACCCTCAGTAACACCCATAACCAACACTGCCCCAGCTCTACTCCTCTAACTACCCTCAGTAACACCCATAACCAACACTGCCCCAGCTCTACTCCTCTAACTACCCTTAGTAACTCCCATAACCAACACTGCCCCAGCTCTACTCCTCTAACTACCCTCAGTAACTCCCATAACCAACACTGCCCCAGCTCTACTCCTCTAACTACCCTCAGTAACACCCATAACCAACACTGCCCCAGCTCTACTCCTCTAACTACCCTCAGTAACACCCATAACCAACACTGCCCCAGCTCTACTCCTCTAACTACCCTCAGTAACACCCATAACCAACACTGCCCCAGCTCTACTCCTCTAACTACCCTCATTAACACCCATAACCAACACTGCCCCAGCTCTACTCCTCTAACTACCCTCAGTAACTCCCATAACCAACACTGCCCCAGCTCTACTCCTCTAACTACAAATAACAACAAAAGCAAGCATATATGCTCAGTCCAAGTGTTCAGTGTTGTAGGGGACGAACCAATGGAAACATTACAACCACCCAACCTAACAATACTGGCTTGAGTCTGCCTAAACAAGCATAAGTGGTCGCAGTGTTTTGATAAGTCAAATTGGCAAGGCAAGCAGGCAAGCAGGCAGGCAGGCAGGCAGGCAAGCTGACAAGCTTATGACACACGCCATAAGAGCGTCACCGCTCATAATACACCACCACACTGGCACTCCCCCCTCACTACACAGGCACACTCGCACTACCTCACCAAAACACGCTCTCCCTCACCACCTGTAAACCAGCTGATTAACGGTTGAGAGGCAGGACCAAAGAGCCGAAGCTTAACCCCCGCAAGCACAACAAGGTGAGTACCACACAGCATGTGAGAAATATACAAATCACAAGCGGGGCCTGGCTCGGGGAGCAGAACTCCGGAAACCCTCTTCAGGTATGATCCAGATCCAGGCGCTGGGAGCCTAGCTGGAGCCTGCAAGCACATCTCTACGAATACACACTCGCTCGCTTCTCTCCCGCCTCTTGTCCCCTTCTTTTGCTGCCAAGTCTAGGTAACTCTTCACTTTCTCAACACATTAGTTACCGCACCCGCGACACAAGACGTTAATGGGGCGAGAGACTATGTAAGAAAGTCAGTTTTAAGATCAAGTACACGAACGTTTGGCAAACTCTGCAGAGACATGGATAATTCACATGTAAATATACTTCACGGACCAAACTTGCAGGAATCATAACAAACGCAGCGTTCCCTCGGGACTACTATGTAATAGTATTGATATAATAATAATAGTAAGTAATAATAATATGAGAGCGGGGTAAAAGAGGTGATAACTTAGAATAAGAAGGACTGGACATTTGAGACAGCAATTCCAGGCTGTGATGGGTTACATATTCAATAACAGTGATACGTCCAGAGATAAGACCAGTGATATACAACACTACACACAAATTACATGGAAATTGTATCTATTGTTAATACTTCCAGTTTTAACTCACATTCAAGGCAAGTTCGTGACGTGCATAGGTGTTGACCCTCACAATCTGTGCAATATATATCCTGGTGTATCCGGGAGACTTGCAAGTATATATACGGTATCCTGCTTGGCTACAGCTCCAGCAGAGAGCAGTATATTTGCAACATTGTGTCACCCCATCTTGCTACAAAAATGCTACATAACATTATATGCATGTAATGTTGACCAGACCACACACTAGAAGGTGAAGGGATGACGACGACGTTTCGTCCCTTTCGTCTTTATTACACCTTACCTTTTCGTACCCTTTGCCTTGCTTCTCCTCACCTCTCTCTTGCCTATTTATTACCTTTCCTCATCACAATCGACTTGAGAATGGTCCAGGACGGACCGAAACGTCGTCGTCCCTTCACCTTCTAGTGTGTGATCTGGTCAACATAATTTACCCATGCATGTAATGTTATGTAACATTTTAAACACAACATGGGTTGAGGATGGTATTTGTTAAGTTTCAAGAACACTGGACCAATTGCGAATCTATCGAGAACGTGGAAAATGTTAACTATAAACATGGATTTGGTATCTCTATGTTTATTTACCTCGAGTATCATTTGAGAAGCCAGAATGACCCTCATAACCAGGAATGAACACTCTTATGAACATTTAGTTTTAGCGAGGATGCATCAGTTTACGTAATGTATTCATCAGGCTGTTTACATTTCTGTATTTTACACTACTAAAACAATATGGAGCCTGGCACTGTACTAACGTCAAGATGACGCATTACGTCACGTGGCCGAGGATGTTTCACATCAGAGTCCAGCCTAGAATTGGTCGGCAGTCACTCGGTGCCTAGACGTCATGAGAAGAGGTTCCCGGACCGACCAACTCAAGATAAGGTGAAGTATGCTGCCCCTGCATGGAGCCCATAAACAAATAAATCACGAAACACATTTACAAAGGGTTTACATGTACATGACACGACTCGTTCTTAACCCGAGGGGATTTAGCTTGGAGGAAACGACCTCGATTTATTGGAGAAAGAAGCAACATGGTAAGAACATACAAGTTTCGTATAGTAATTTTACCATGTGCACAAAGAGAAATGTTCCAAGTGAGAAAGAAACTGCAGAACGAGGCGACACAACCTCGCTAAACCTAAATACAAACTTGAGATACGAGTGGAAAGATAATCATTACGCGCAGTAAACAAATGCAATTCACTTAACTCTGCATAGGTTAGGTGTGATGGTTGTAGTATTCATGCGTTTATGGCAAGGCAAAACAGTTGCATTTCTCATGTGGTAGATCGAGAGAAGGGGCTGATAAAAGAGCCAAGTGTGTTGGTGGGGTTTGCTGCATTACTTGACCACGAACATGAGCGGCTGGGAGTGCAAACTTGGCAGACTGTTGTGGCTACACCGTGAACCTCTGCGCTAAGGCTCCACCACACCACATAGGAAATTGCTCATGCGTTACTCGGACGGACAAATACGACACGACACAGTCCCACGAAAACCTTTTCATACTTTACTGAAGAAACTAAGCGTCATGTGAGAATTACAGTGGTTGTGTTACAAGAACCCCCCGCCCTTCCCCTGGCGGGACGGCTACAGGCATGTGGAGGAGCGGCGTGGGAGGGAGACTGTGCAGTTAAGTAAACCACGGCCTGCTTGCCTGCCTTCTTGCAACCCAGCCTGCCTGCCTGCTTGCTTGTGTATGTGTTTGACTATTTTCCCTACCGGCTGCATGCTCGCCGATACGTCATTCATACTGCCTGCCTCATTACCTATCCCTCTTCCCTGCCCGCCTATCTTCCTTCCCTTACCCTCTATGCACCTCTTTCCCTCCCTGCTTGTCAAACCTATCCATCTCTCTTCCTGCCTGCCTTGCCTGCCTGTCTCCGTACTAGTCTCTCCCTGCCTGCAAACATGTGTCCTTGCCTGCCTGTCTGCAAACTATCAGATCCTACACAATATATTTCAACCCGATTACAAGTCAATCTGGCTGGCCGGCTGCCGGATTTTGCCTCCCCTACCTTGGTACTACGATTAGCAGGTCCCGAGGATCAATGTCCCCGCGACCCGGTCTCTGATACATACAGATACATACATACATACACATACAAACACACAAGTCCATTTCGGGTTGAGATAGAGAAGCGAAGACGCACAAGCACAGCTACACAAGTACCTAAGAAAGGTGTCATGTACACACGCCGGAACCTTGTGAAAACTGGCTGCTGGCTCGGCACCTCTACATTACAACTAAGACATTCAGCTATTGATTTTCCTGCTGGTTGACACCCAACACGAGTAATGCCATCACTGTTCACCCGACGACGCCTTATCCAGAATGGCATCGTAAAACACCACAGTCACTAAGACCTTCCCCGGGCGTACGGCCTGTCGCAACACCACCAACAATTCCTGTTTGAGAAAGCCCAGAGGTATGGCAACCCCCTCGGGGTAACAGCCTTCACAATGCGCTTTTAACATACACTATACTGCATACAAATACATTGAATATGGAGGTAATTTTTTCGACGATATAAATTTTACGGAATTCATATCATGCCGGTCAGTGAAGCGCTGTAGTTTCCAGACGTTAGAACCTACAGCGGGTTGCGAGTTGTAACTTCAACTCTCGCATTCCGGCAGAGAACCAGGCTTTACTGGTGAAGAGTTGATCGGTAAGGCTGTTGCTGGCAGCAGACAACATGCCCACACATCAATTACAACCCGCCTGACTCGGCATTTTCTGCACAAACTTGTACTATTTGGATACAGAACAACGTCAAGATGACTGTCAGCTTGCCCCCCCTCCCGTGTCCAACCACTTGGGCTGGACGTACCCCCCTGTCCAACCACTTGGGCTGGACGGTAGAGCGACGGTCTCGCTTCATGCTTGTCGGCGTTCAGTCCCCGACCGTCCAAGTTGTTGGACACCATTCGTTCCCCCCGTTCCATCCCAAATCCTTATCCTGACCCCTTCCCACGGCTATATAGTCTAATGGCTTGGCGCTTTCTCCTTGATAGTTCCCTTCCCTTCCCCCCCCCTCTTGTTTGAACCTAGGTCATCGTATTTATGTCTAACCTAAATAAATCATTCTACCTTGACAACTTATGTATTTTGACAAAGACACAGGTCCATCCAGCTGACTACCTTCCCTGGTAGTGAGCAGTAGGAGCTGCACCTTCCCTGGTAGTGAGCAGTAGGAGCTGCACCTTCCCTGGTAGTGAGCAGTAGGAGCTGCACCTTCCCTGGTAGTGAGCAGTAGGAGCTGCACCTTCCCTGGTAGTGAGTGAGCAGTAGGAGCTGCACCTTCCCTGGTAGTGAGCAGTAGGAGCTGCACCTTCCCTGGTAGTGAGTGAGCAGTAGGAGCTGCACCTTCCCTGGTAGTGAGCAGTAGGAGCTGCACCTTCCCTGGTAGTGAGTGAGCAGTAGGAGCTGCACCTTCCCTGGTAGTGAGCAGTAGGAGCTGCACCTTCCCTGGTAGTGAGCAGTAGGAGCTGCACCTTCCCTGGTAGTGAGTGAGCAGTAGGAGCTGCACCTTCCCTGGTAGTGAGCAGTAGGAGCTGCACCTTCCCTGGTAGTGAGTGAGCAGTAGGAGCTGCACCTTCCCTGGTAGTGAGCAGTAGGAGCTGCACCTTCCCTGGTAGTGAGTGAGCAGTAGGAGCTGCACCTTCCCTGGTAGTGAGCAGTAGGAGCTGCACCTTCCCTGGTAGTGAGTGAGCAGTAGGAGCTGCACCTTCCCTGGTAGTGAGCAGTAGGAGCTGCACCTTCCCTGGTAGTGAGCAGTAGGAGCTGCACCTTCCCTGGTAGTGAGCAGTAGGAGCTGCACCTTCCCTGGTTGTGAGTGAGCAGTAGGAGCTGCACCTTCCCTGGTAGTGAGCAGTAGGAGCTGCCACTTCCCTGGTAGTGAGCAGTAGGAGCTGCACCTTCCCTGGTAGTGAGCAGTAGGAGCTGCACCTTCCCTGGTAGTGAGCAGTAGGAGCTGCACCTTCCCTGGTTGTGAGTGAGCAGTAGGAGCTGCACCTTCCCTGGTAGTGAGCAGTAGGAGCTGCACCTTCCCTGGTAGTGAGCAGTAGGAGCTGCACCTTCCCTGGTTGTGAGTGAGCAGTAGGAGCTGCACCTTCCCTGGTAGTGAGCAGTAGGAGCTGCACCTTCCCTGGTAGTGAGCAGTAGGAGCTGCACCTTCCCTGGTAGTGAGCAGTAGGAGCTGCACCTTCCCTGGTAGTGAGCAGTAGGAGCTGCACCTTCCCTGTGGAGTGATAATGAAGAGAGAGCAAGACAGGTTGTGGCCGAGGATGGGTATCACACACGGGTCATCATCATCATCTGCCTGGCGCCGGCACCCACTGACAGCCGGGATCAATACCTGCCCACAGTAGTGTACACAAAGCCACCCTGGATAACAACTGCCACCACTCGCCTACCACATTATTTATCACCAGCCTTAGCCCGGGAAAAAGGTCGAGTGTGTGTGTCGACGCCGCTCAACTCCATCACCACAAAACCAACCTTCTTCCACATTGTGCACTTTCCTAGTTATGTTGAGCGTCCTTCAAAGTTGTTTACATTTTGCAATAGGCCTACATGGAGAGCAAGACACCACAGAAGCAAACTTCCTCTCACGTCAGAGAAAAAACGACAGAAAAATGTGTGGTACAGACCACCCAGACTAGAATAGGTAGATACAAGAGAATCAACGTGTCCGAGACCAGGCCTTTTGGTTATAGGTCTGGTCAACCAGGCTGTTGGACGCAGCTGCTCGCTGTCTGATGTATGAATCACAGCCTGGTTGATCAGGTACCATTTGGTGGTGTTTATCATTTTCTTTCTCTCTTTAACACTGCGAGGGGTCGGCCAATTATGCCCCTTATGTGTAGTGGAAGCGTGTTGAAGTCTCGGGCCTCTGATGTTGATAGAGTTCTCTCTCAAAGCACCTATGCTTTTCAACGGGGGTATTCGAGCTTGGCCTCAGCGGGCTTGGGGATTAGAACTTCCAGAACTCTCTCTATGCCTCTTGGGTTTATGTGATGCTATTTAACATAAGAACATAAGAACAAAGGCAACTGCAGAAGGCCTGTTGGCCCATACGAGACAGCTCCTATTTATAACCACTAACAGTTACAGTTGCGTGTGCATATTTGGAACTAGCCCCTCTGAATATTTTCAATGTGTCAATTATTATGTATCTCTCCCGCCTGCGCTCTAGAGAATACAGATTTAAGCATTTTAATAGGTCCCAATAATTTAGATATTTTATTAAGTGGATTATAGCAGCTTATTTTTCACTAATCCACATTTGTTCAAATGAAGGGTATCCGGGATGCTCCCGGACGCAGGTTCGAATCCTCGTCACGGCCCTTGTGGATTTGTTCATTTGATGCATCACGTTAGTGTGATCTCTGTGTGTGTCACATTTGTTCACTTTGCCTCTCCTGGATTTTACATGATTCATGTAGCTTTAGTTCAATGGTTTCTATTTTTTTCTGCCTAGCCTTCTCCGCCGTTCTTGAGATAGGGTGCGACTCTCAAGTTGTTTAGCGATTCTTTGTCTTTGCTTCACAAAGACGCATTTGTGAGGACCAGAAAAAACAGAGAAGCAACACAAGAAGATACTAATAGCATTCAAGGCTATACGAGAAAATGATCGAACAAGAAAATAATTCGGTCAGATCAGAAAGGAAATGTAAAATAATAAGGAAACATGCGAGGTACTAAACAAAAGCTAATAATAAGCATTTAAACTAGAACCTGAACATCTTCCGAGGTAGAGGACAGGACCTCCCCAAGTGAGAGACAAAGTAACATGGACATTACAGGAAACACAGAGAGGAAGCAGCTCCAGGATATACATGCTGCATCCTTCAAGTAATACATTCTCCTGCATCCTTCAAGTAATACATTCTCCTGCATCCTTCAAGTAATACATTCTCCTGCATCCTTCAAGTAATACAGTAGTGACAGCTGTGGTGGTAGTTATGACGGTAGTGACAGCTGTGGTGGTAGTTATGACGGTAGTGACAGCTGTGGTGGTAGTTATGATGGTAGTGACAGCTGTGGTGGTAGTTATGATGGTAGTGACAGCTGTGGTGGTAGTTATGACGGTAGTGACAGCTGTGGTGGTAGTTATGATGGTGGTGACAGCTGTGGTGGTAGTTATGATGGTGGTGACAGCTGTGGTGGTAGTTATGATGGTGGTGACAGCTGTGGTGGTAGTTATGACGGTAGTGACAGCTGTGGTGGTAGTTATGATGGTAGTGACAGCTGTGGTGGTAGTTATGATGGTAGTGACAGCTGTGGTGGTAGTTATGATGGTAGTGACAGCTGTGGTGGTAGTTATGACGGTAGTGACAGCTGTGGTGGTAGTTATGATGGTAGTGACAGCTGTGGTGGTAGTTATGATGGTAGTGACAGCTGTGGTGGTAGTTATGATGGTAGTGACAGCTGTGGTGGTAGTTATGACGGTAGTGACAGCTGTGGTGGTAGTTATGATGGTGGTGACAGCTGTGGTGGTAGTTATGATGGTGGTGACAGCTGTGGTGGTAGTTATGATGGTGGTGACAGCTGTGGAGGTAGTTATGACGGTAGTGACAGCTGTGGTGGTAGTTATGATGGTAGTGACAGCTGTGGTGGTAGTTATGATGGTAGTGACAGCTGTGGTGGTAGTTATGATGGTAGTGACAGCTGTGGTGGTAGTTATGATGGTAGTGACAGCTGTGGTGGTAGTTATGATGGTAGTGACAGCTGTGGTGGTAGTTATGATGGTAGTGACAGCTGTGGTGGTAGTTATGATGGTAGTGACAGCTGTGGTGGTAGTTATGATGGTAGTGACAGCTGTGGTGGTAGTTATGATGGTAGTGACAGCTGTGGTGGTAGTTATGATGGTAGTGACAGCTGTGGTGGTAGTTATGATGGTAGTGACAGCTGTGGTGGTAGTTATGATGGTAGTGACAGCTGTGGTGGTAGTTATGATGGTAGTGACAGCTGTGGTGGTAGTTATGACAGTAGTAACAGCTGTGGTGGAGTCGGGCAGAAGAGATGAAGGGAGGGAAGGAGTAGGTTAGGTTAGTGTGGCACAAGACTCCATCATGTTGTGTATGTGCTCGAGCAGCCACACTCATCTAAATGCTCACATTCAATTGGATCCCTCAGTCTCCAGTGCACCTCCACCACCCTGCACACACCCAGCCCCACACACACACACCCGCCCCCCCCCCCCCCCCCACATACCCAGTCAATCCACTCTAGTAATATTAAAAACAACACCATCAATAACTAACTTTTCTATAAAAAAATGGTAATGTGTCACCAATGGGCTATAATGCAGAAGTACACAGAATGATGCCAAGG